CCTTCCCTTGCCATGCTTGTGGTGTCCCTCCCATTTGAGGTCTCGCTGGGAGTTTGGTTCCTGACTGACTCTGTCCCTCCTACTATTTTCAATGTGGTCTTGTCTCTGTGGTTAACTGTGGAAAGTCTGTTCTGCCAGTCTTCAGATCATTTTCTGGTTAGTCTCACAGGGTGTGTCTGTGAGATGAGATGAACTTAGGATCATCCTACTCCATCCTCTTCCCAGAAGTCCTTGTATACAATCTTGATGTTTTTCAGTTTAGTGCTGGATAGTGGGTTCTGGCCTATCAACCAGATCATATTTCACTAAAAGGTTACATCTTCTAATTTCAGTATCTAGGACACTAAGTGAAATCTATAAATCCCTGTTCAGAATGTAATAAAATTTAAGATGATCTTTTCCCAAATGGATCATCATGATCATCATAGTATTTGGAGTTTCAAAGATAGAAATAAAAGCAATTAGTCGATGTGTATGTGTGTTGTATATGTTTAATTGAACATTAGATATGTCATTTGTCAATAAAGACTCTCATTTCTGAAAATTTTTTTCTTCCTCAAGATTGAAACACATATAACTCATTTCCTTTCAGGATGTAATCTGTATTTGGTATTTTAAGATAGTAATACCTTTTCAAAAATACTATTTTTTAAATTTTGTTTTAGTTTCTCAGAAAAGTCTGTACTCTGGAATCAGATTAACCAATACTATTTTTTGTCAAGTCCTTATATTTGTCTTTGGTACATCTGTGTTTTAAAATATGTATATATATAAATATATATTTATAAATATATATATATATATTTAAAAGGGAAAATACATTTACTTAAGAACCTAAATTGTCTTTATCAAGTTGAACACTTGCTATGTTCTGTGTTTTCATTAAATGTTTTCCTGATTTCTCTTAGGGGTCTTGGATATTTTGTTTACTTGTACCTAGAATACACAGACTTGTCCAACTTGTCTGTCCAGACAAGTCTAGATAGTCATATTTTTCACAGTTGTGGTCATTGTGCCACGTATTTGCCTCCTCATCTTCTTCAAAACTGCTGGCTAGATCTTGGCTAGAGTGTAAGATTTATTATCTTTGAGCTGCCTCTGCTTCTGAGCTGCTGACACCCATTAATCAGTTTGACTTACTGACCCTGGTGCTATCTGGAACTGTGTGCTTATATTAGATAGGTTGTACCTGGAGTCCATTCATTATATTTCCAGGCTCTAACTTCTCTGTACCATACCAGCTTAATCGTGCTGGCAAATATCACTCACCTATTATAGAACCCTCTTGTATTCCTTACAGAACTCCTTCACTCAGCTCTGAGGGGTTCTCTTGAGGAAGGGTCCACATGGGCTTGAATTATACACCTAATCATTCAAGACTTTAAATCTTTAAAAGCTTCAGATGTCATTTACAATCTGTAGGCACTGCAGAACTATATATTTTAAATAAAGACAAGCCCTCTGATGGTCTTTTTAAATCATGGAAAGCTAAACCAATGAAACCAAGTTCAGTGTTTCTTTGTCTTAGATAAAAAAGTCAGATTTGCATGGTTGCAATTCACCTCATTCACCTGTGGTGCATTGATTCTGACACCTAATTAAATTGATCAACCACAATGATCACTAAGGCAATTGTTTGCCAAGCATCACTGGCAAAACAAATTTAGCTTATACCTGTGATGTACTCCACTGTTTCTATCCAGAAGTGGAAACAAATAAGGAACAGGAAATTGAACATAATTTGAATTAGGAAACTGAACACAATTCTGTATCATAATTTGTACATGTATAATAACCACTGTGTATTTTCTTGTTTCTTACTATGTGACTCTCCATAATATTAATTTCAGGAGGCTTGCCATTTTCACAGTTAATTCAATTTTGCCATTGTTTTCTTTCAGAAAAATGTGCTATTCGATTTAATTGCCTTTAAGAAAAGACATTAGAATTGTCTTTCAACTTCTAACATATAATGTTTTGTTAAAATCAATCTTTATTAAACCAAGTATCATTTAAATATTCTCTGCAGATATTTAATTAAAATAGTTTAATGTATATTGAGCTTGAATATTTCATAAAAATACATCAATACTTTCACTCAGATTCTGTTAACATATGTAAAAAATATCCTTGAAAACAATAAAGAAATTATAGAAAAAGCTGTCAGAAGTAAGGATGACTTTTTGGCCTCAAGTTTAATATAGAAACAGATCCAATGGTGAAATCCAAATAATTAGCAGAAATTAAAATAATATGGAGGGTCTTAATTTTTCTCAATAGTTTTTTTTAATCATTGGTAAAACAGTAAGTTTATTCACAGGCACTTTTATTCTGTCCTCGTGTGAGTTAAGAAAATGTGTGTGGGGTCATGTGATACATATATTTTTTCTAACATCAGAGTAGTCAAGATATGCTTTTTTATTCAAAAACATATGCAATAATTGTCACAAAAAATAGTCACTCCCATTAATCAAAATTGTCTATGTGGCAGGAGAATATTTATGCATGTCTTTAATAATCTTTATTCCCTTTTTCCTTCAATAGGAAGGGATCTTTGTTAAAAAGAGTGAAGGGGCCAGCTAAGGCTTCGTGGTAATAGCATACATAATTCCCAAGACAAATGTTATGGGTGAAAAGGTGTCTATTTCTTCTATAGCTGTATGTAATTTATATTTTGAGAATCTCATTTCCTTAGGTAGTAGAAACTTATATTCATTCATTAAGAGTTTCTTCTTACACTTGGGGCTACCCTTTTTCTCTAGGGTTGAATCTAGATTCTTGGAAGCATTCTCTAAGTCAAGTCTGTGATGTAAAGGAACCTCCTGTCCTTGGTCATGACCATCCCTGCACATTATTGTCTGCACAGCTGTGCATCTTCTTGTTTGGATTCCCCGGCTACCACTGAATCCTCTCTTCTCTGCCGGTATCTCTCCTTCAGCTGTTTCTTCATCCCTTGTTGGTAAAAAGAAGTATTTGGCTGTTTAGTCAGTCCTCTAGAGGCCTTAGACCACCAGGTACAGAGCTCCATGAGCTTTGGGTGGGAGAGCTTCGAAATAGCATACAGACATCTTACTTTGTGATTTCTGGGTCATTTGGGGTCCCATAAGGGCTGCTCTTTCTCTGGACTCTACCAATGATGAGAGGACCCCTCTGGTCTCATATTTACCAAATTTAACTGGGATTTCTATTACATTAGTAGGAAGTATATGTCCTTTCATGGTGAGCAGAGGAGTAGAAATAATTAAGGGGAAGATAGAGGGGGTAGAAAAGAGCTGGTCAGAGAATGGCAGGGAACAGTGGCAACGTCCCATGGACATGACTCCCCTTGCTCATTCATGGGGGACTATTCCCTTTGGGCAAACAGTCTTCTTGAGGGGAAAAGTAGGGTCATGTTTTGTATTATATTCTAGATTTATGTGTGTGATTTGTCTTAATTTTTTTCTTTTGAAGATTTATACCCTTCCCAAACTATCCAGTGTAACTGAAGAAACTGAGTATACCTGTGTTTATACAAGCACACATACATACATAAATATGTATATTTCTTTCCTTCCAAATTAGGTATTTTTAAAGTAGCTGATTCTGAAAAATAAGTAAAAATTCATAAAATTCAAATAAAATCCTAAATGTTATGTATTGTTTCTGTAGATTCATTACCCTGGACCTCTACAAGCTTTCCTGTTTACCCTTATTCTAGTTTCAAACTCATAACACATACACACATAGGTTTTAGTCACCCTGATTACTTCATGTTATTTCTTGTATCAAAGACTTTAGTCTAGAATATTCTTCCCTTCTACCCATAATCAGTGCTTCACTTGGGCCATTTCTATTCATCCTTTAGGTCTTCATTTTGAGTAATATGGAAGTTTCCTTATCCTTAAGTATAAGCTAAGAAGCCCTTTAATGTGTGTGCCCATAGTATCCAATAGCAGTTTGTACTTTATTGTCATAGCATGTACAACATTGCTTGTAACTGTACACATTCTCAAAAAGACTAGGCTCTGAGGGAAGCTTTTATGTGTAATTTGTTCACTGGTCTAATCTTGTGCCTAGCACAGGGCTTGACATATGGTATAATTTTTGAAAAATAAATATTGAGTATAGGTGAGCCAATGCAAAAATCATAATCAAAGAATCTAAGAAAGTCAGTCCTAAGGAAAGTTACATGGTATAGGTGATCTAATGACATCAAGAAACTGGTCTCAGAAAATGGAAGTATACAGGTCTTAGAGATGAAGGACAACTTCTATTTTATAGTTTATTGAATAGAATATAGTCAACTAAAGGTTGTAAAGGTTGTAAAGTGGCTTAAAATACTAATTAAACCTAGGCCATGTAGAAGATGACTTTACAAATAGTGACTTGATTGGTACCAATTCAGTTTAAGTTACCATATGTAAATAGTTTGGCATAACAAAAATTATATAAAGAGGAGGAAAGCATTTAATAATTTGTTAATTATAAAAGAGGCAGTGAAAATAGTGTGAAAATAATTTTACTATAGTAGATATAATAAATATTTTACTAACAACCAAGTACAACCAAGAGAAACCTTGTCCAAAAGATGAAAAAGGAAATTGAATGCCCACAATGAATAAAACTTCATGTAAAATAAAATAATGAAACTAACAATTAGCCCTTCATATAATTTCATCCCCATCCAAGCTGTATCAATTATTTATCCTGTTTTGAAAGGTAAGGAGGAAAAGGTGCCACTAATTTATTGCAAATAGAAATGGTATAACAAAAATCATGATGACTTATTGCATTCTTATCAAGTACCCGTCCTTATGTTAAGTGGTTTACAGTCCTTATCTAATATTAGCCTCCTAATTATTCAATAATGTAGAACAAGGTTTTTAATAAGGTTATTAATTGCCTTCAAATACAGCATAAACTTTTATTATAATGTTAACTCTCCTGTCAAAATTTTTAATTCTTTGAAACAGTTGTTTTGGTTTTAAAAAAACATAATACAAAAAAAAGAGCCTACGTACCATTACAGTAATATGTGCTTCCTTTCCAATTACCCCAAGGGATCAGTCAGCCTAAAGAGAGATCATGATTTATTACAGAAGGCATGCCAAATTAAAAAGTTAGATATAATTTAACTTCTCACATTCAAAACAAGATTTTGCAGCAAAACAAGACTTGCAACCTGAACTCTATGAGAAAGAATTTTTTATACTTTAGTTCTCCTTTGGCTAAGTGTAATTCTGCATGATTGCAGTCATGGAGAAAATAGAGTTTACTGCTCAGTACAGAAAAGCATTTTCCACTATGATAATCAAGTCTTAGGTTTGTTGTCTTTACCTAGGAGGAAGATATGATCATGAAGACTAGGGAAAACCAAACTCCTTTCTAACCTTGGAGGATGGAGGAGAGGAGAGAAATAGGAAGTGAGATGGAAGGAAGAAAGACGTCAGGCAAGCATGTGTCTCTATATGTCTTCCTGACACACCAGCCCATGTAAACGTGAGCAAGAGGAGGGTCAGGTAAGCTGAGGGAATGCAAAGAGCAGAGGCGAATCAGTAGATTTAACACTTCTGAGCATTTGTTCTTTAGGGTTTCAGCATCATGTGAGATGACCACATAGGTAAAAAGAGAATCTGTTGACCCTGAAGGGAATGTCTACATTACCTTCCAAGCTTTCATCATGGATATGTATAGAAACTGCTTTAAACACTTTATACAGAAGTACCCATTTAATCTTCAAAAAAATATTATGAACTTGGGGTGGACATTTTTTTCAATGTTTTTATTTGTTTTTGAGGGAGAGATTGAGTGTGAGTGGGGGAGCTGTCAGCACAGAGTCTGAATTGCAAGATCATGACCTGAGGTGAAGTCGGATGCTCAACAGACTGAACCACCCAGGTGCCCAGGAAGACATTTTTTATAACGAGCAGACTTGCCTTAGATCACACGATAAAGAGGAGAAACAAGAATTATACCCTATGCCATTTAGAACTAGAATTTATGCATTTAATCACTATGCTACATGACTAGAAACTAAGATGTCATCCCAGAATGTTGACAAAGACTCTTCTTTAATTTTTATTTTAATTCCAGTATAGTTAACATACAGTGTTATATTTGCTTCGGGTATACAATATAGTGATTCAGCAATTTTCTGTATTACTCACTGCTCATCATGATGAATGTACCCTTAATCTCCTTCATCTGTTTCATCCATCTCCCTTCTGGTAACCATCCATTTGTTCTCTGTGGTTAAGAGTCTTGTTTGCTTTGAAACAATATTGCAACATTATTTACAAGAGCCAAGTGATGTACAAGTGCCCATCAATATATGAATAGATAAAGATGTGTGTGTGTGTGTGTGTACACACACAGAGATACACGCATACAGTGGAATATTATTCAGCCACAAAAAAGAATGGATTCTTGCCATTGCAACAGCATAGATGGATCTAGGGAGTTTAATACTAAGCAAGGTAAGTTAGATAAAGACAAATACCATATGATTTCACTCACATATGGAATTTAATAAGTAAAAGAAAACACAAGGACTCTTGAAACTATCAGATCTAATTTCAGTTTCAACCAGATTAGACATTTAAATTATTTTAATGTTCTCTTATGAATAGGACATTATTGGGTGTATAAAATGAACTATAAAACAGTAATAGGAAAATGAAATTCCTCTATAAACATGTTTTCTTCACATATACACAGATGTATACACACACACTCATATAAATACACACACACACACACACACATATGTATATATATTCATACACATTCACATGTGCCTTCAACTTCTTTTGTCATAGTACTGTTTAATTATCTCTGTGTGTATTTCGTAAGGAGCTGTTAACATGAGCTCCTGAGTCACCAAGCATGACTCTATCCAATAGAAATTAAACCTCAGAATAAGTAGTGAGTCCACCTGCTTTATATATGGTCCCCTGGCAGAAGTCAGTGATGCAGTTCATCGCCTAAATTTTTATTAAGCATATGTCATGGGATAGCACATTTCAGACTTTGGGATATATAAGCAACATATACTGCAATACGGGGAAAGCACAAAACACAGTATAAAGTGAATTATAGAGAATTTTAGAGGGGTATGAGTGTTACTGGAAGAATATAGTAAAAGGTAAGGATGATAGGGGTTACACATTTCAGATTTAAATTTCAAATAGAGTGCTCAATTAAAATATTTTAGAGTGTTGTGAATATATTTAACAACATTTTAAATAATCTTGGACAGTAACATATCTGGACTTAAATAGCTGTAAAATAAATTAAAAAATAATGTATTAGGAATGTTTTCAAACTTTTAAGTTACAGCAAAGTCATAAAATACCTTATTTTCATTAAGACTTTTATTTTGTTTTTAAGAATTGGGTAAGAGGATTATTTTAAATGAAATATAATTAACATACAGTATTATATTAGTTTCAAGTGTATAATGATTCTACAATTCTCCACATTACTTAGTGCTCATCACAGTAAGTATACTCTTAATCCCCTTATCTATTTTAACCACCCTTCTCCCTGCCCTCTGGCAACCCTAGTTTTTGTGGTTGTGTAATATTTCATTATATATATATTTATACCACAGCTTCTTTATCCATTTATGGATGGACACTTGGGTTGCTTCCATATTGGCTATTGTAAATAATGCTGCATTAAACATTGGGGTGCATTTATCTTTTTGGATTAGTGTTTTTGTTTTTAGAGGCAGATACCCAGTAGTGGAATTACTGGATCATTTGGCAATTCTATTTTTAATTTTTGAGGACCTTCATACTGTTTTCCACAGAGGCTGTACCAATTTGCATTCCCACTGACAGTGCACAATGGTTTGTTTTTCTTCACATCCTTATCACACTTGTTATATCTTGTGTTTTTTATTTTAGCCATTTTGAGAAGTATGAGGTGATAACTCATTGTTGTTTTGATTTTAATTTCCCTGATGATGAATAACATTGAGTATCTTTTAACATGTCTCTCGGCCATCTGTACATCATCTTTTGAAAAATTTCATTCAGGTCCTCTGAATTTTTATTTGGATTGTATTTTTGGTGTTGAGTTGTAGGAGTTCTTGATAGATTTTGAAAAATAGCTCCTTATCAGATATACCATTTGAAAATATCTTCTCCCATTCAATAAGTTGACTTTTTGTTTGTTGGTGTCCTCTGCTGTGTGTAGGGTTTTATTTCAGTGTAGTCCCACTAGTTTAATTTTGCTTTTGTTTCCCTTGTCTGAAGAGACATATCTAGAAAATTATTTGTATGGTTCATGTCAAATAAACCACTGCCTGTGTTTTTTACAGGAATTTAATGGTTTTACATCTCATACTTAGGTCTTTAATCTATGTTGAGTTTATTTTAGTGTGTGGTGTAAGAGTGGTCCAATTTCATTGTTTTATGTATGCTGTCCAGTTTTCTCATCATCATTTGTTGAAGAGCCTTTTTCCGATTTTATATCATTACCTCCTTTGTCTTACATTAATTGACCATATAATTTGGATTTATTTCTGGACTGTCTATTATAACACATTGATCAGTATGTCTCTTTTGTGCCAGTACCATACTGTTTGGATTACTTTAGTTTTGTAATTTATCTTGATATCTGGGATACTTCCAGCTTTGTTCTTTCTCAAGATTGCTTTTGCTTTTGGGTCTTTTGCATACCAGCTGTAGGATTATTTGTTCTAGTTTTGTGAAAGATGTTGTTGGTACTTTGATAAGAATGGCACTAAATCTGTGGATTGCTTTTGGTTGTATGGACATTTTAAAAATATTGGTTCTTCCAGTCCATTAGTATGAGATATCTTTCCATTTGACTGTACCATCATCAGTTTCTTTCATCAGTGTTTAATAGATTTTAACATACAGGTCTAGTATACACCTCCTTGGTTAAGTTTATTCCTAGTTTTTTTTTCTTTCTGGGGCAATTATAAGTGGAATTTTTAAATTTCTCTTTCCAGCACTTTTTCATTAGTGTGTAGAAATACAACTGATTTCTGTATATTTATTTTGTAACATGTGACCTAACTGAATTCATTTATCAGTTCTAGTAGCTTTTTGATGGAGTACATAGTGTTTTCTACAAACAGTGTCCTGTCATCTGCAAATTGTGAAAAAGTAATTTGGATTCTAATTACTTCTCTTTGATTGCTGTGGCTAAGACTTTCAGTGCTCTGGAATGAGAGTGGAGAGAGTGGACATCTGGTCTTTCCTGATCTTAGGGGAAACGTTCTCAAGAAGTTTGTCACCATGGAGTACAATGTTAGCCTGGGGTTCTTCATACATAGTCTTTACAATGTTGAGGTATGTTTTCTTTATGCCTACTTTGTTGAGAATTTTTATCATGAATGAGTGTTATACTTTGTCAAATGATATCTCTCCACCTACTGATATGATTATCTAGTTTTTATCCTTTCTATTTTTAATGTGATGTGTACACTGATTGATTTGCAAATATTGAACTATCTTTGCATCTCTGGAATAAATCCCACTTGATGGTGATGAATGGGTTTGTTTTGCTGAGGATTTTTGCATCTGTGTTCATTAGAGATATTATTCTCTAGTTTTCTTTTTTGTAATGTCTTTATCTTGTTTTGGCATGACAGTAATGCTAGCCTCATAGAATGAGCTTCAAAGTTTTCCATCCTCTCCTGTCTTTTGGGATAGTTTGAGAATAGGTGTTAACTCTTCTTGAAATTTTGGTAGAGATCACCTGTGAAACTTGATCCTGATCTTCTGCGGGTTGGGAGTTTTTACATTCATTGCTAGTAATTGGTCTGTTCATATTTTCTATTTTTTTCCTGATTCAGTTTTGGAAGATACATTTCTAGGAATTTATCCATTTCTTCTAAGTTGTCCAATTTCTTGGCTTATAATTTTTTATAGTATTCTTTTGTAATCCTGTGATATATTTTATTTCTGTGGTGTTATTTCTTCTCCTTCATTTCTGATTTTATTTGAGTCTTCTTTCTTGTTTTGTTGTTGTTGTTGTGGCCAAAGTCTCAGTTTTACTGATCTTTTCAAAGAACCAGCTCCTTGTTTCATTAATC